ATATATATATATACAGAGCGTTTCTTAAAACCAAAAAATTGTTTGAACCACCAAACAAGTTTGAATGAAACTTGCAAAAACTAATCACTGTGTCGACTTTAGCCAATACAAAAATYTCTCAAACTCAGTCAGCTTTACAGATATTGAGCTAAAGTTTGACGGAGCAGCTGAGAGTGATTCACAGCYTGTACTTGGAGCTTGACATTTTGTGATCTTGCACAAGATTTCACATATTTGACCAAAACAGCTGCAGCTTTGTCAGTTGTGYACAGGAGATGGTTTTAGTCTAAAACTCTGACGTGAAATCCCAGTTAAAGTTAGAAATACGTTGAATGCTACGTTTAATAATCTGCAAAGCTTTACTTGAAGGGTGCCACACTTTTTAAATGGCATTCATTAATGACCTCTTCYATGTCTAGGTGACAAATTATATGCAAATTCAGTATATGTGGGCCCATTATGAGTGCTAAATTTGGTGTAAAAACAAGGCAATCAGTGAATTGTTACCAAAATGTCTTTTACACCAAAGACAAACTCGCTTTTTCTAATATTCCTAAGTGGTATGCAAGTCATAAATATAACGATGAGTCACAGCAAATGTACACATATGTCACATCTATAAATTAGGAATTTAATTAGGCTTGTGTAGTGCCAATTATATGCCATGGTTTCAAGGCGCCTCATTTTCCTCCTGTTTGTCACAGCTGCAGAGAAAACTACTGATCGTATTAGTCAGCAGGCTCATCATCTTTTGTTGCTCTTGTAGTCAGAGCAGCTTGAACGTTGACTGTCCCGTTCAATGAGCCCTCGCCATATGTTTCCCAACGGCAGCGCCCACCCCCGAACTGAACCCCCCACGATTTGTAAACTGACCTCCACCCGGGCGAGAATTAAAGAGGATTCAGTTGGAAGACAGGTCCTTTCTTCACAAGACAAATTAAACACAGACTCTTTTTTTTCTTTCTCTCTTCGTCCTGCCTTTAGATTTTATAGATTTTTTGTGGATTGCTTACCTGTAGGTGGGGGAGTAAGGCCATTTAGTGTCTGTCTAGTTGTAATGACTCCAACCTTGTAATCGCCTCCGCCTGCCGTCTCTCCTGCTCTTTCTCTTACATGCACAGCAAACACTCCTTTCACAGTCACAGCACACACGCTTCAAGTCGCCTGCAAGGTCAGGGCCATAGAGATTGATTTTTGTGCTAGAACCCAACATATAAAGACACAATGAGCGCTCTGTGTCTGGATACAGTCATTACTGCTGTGGTTACCGTGCGCTCGGCGGTTAGAGTTTGTGGTTAATCCTCTATCAGTGGTCCACTTTTGTTTATAGTACAGGCATACGGATAATCTCGTCCCTGGTCAATTAGTATTTTGGATAATCACAGCCGTGACTAATTGGTGCCGTGAACGGGGGCTTGTTGTGGTTAATTACCAGTATTGTGGTGGGGTCTGACTGTGGTTAATGGCACCTATGGTTAAATTGTCACTCTGAATTATCACATGAAAAGCTGCTCTAGATCCCAGTGTTTCTTTCTTGTTTTTTTGTGGGATTAAATCGAGTTAGTCACGTTGTTTCTTCATTCTGCCATCTTGGAGTCGTGAACTCAGCCCATCCAGGGTCAGAGGAAACTCTTGTTTTATCAACATATGATACTCGTGTGGGTTTGCTGGAATGTTTTGCTTACTTAGGGTTTATCAGAAAGCAGGAAATTAAAGGATTGTTATTAAAAATAAGCAAAGCCCTCTGTCCTATTTTGACTTACACTACTACTCGGGACAAGGATTTTACGATAATGCCCCCCTTTCCTCCAGGAAAAATAGCATCAGAAGGCCATGTTATGGAAACAAGAGTATCGCTCTTTCAAAAAACGGTGGCTTAAGAGAAAAGGAAAAAAAAGGGAAAGAAAAAAACCATTGTGTTCATAGCTCTCAACCTAAAAATTCTGTCTCAAGGGAATTCTTTAGATAAAAGCTACATTTTTGTTGCAACAAAGAATATTAAACAGTACTTAATATTTTTTTATGGTCTTGAATTTTTCAGTTATCCTCAATCAACCCTCACATCTTCAGTTGTAATGATATATTCTAGTTTCAGTCTTTGTTAGTGTCACTGTTACCCCTTCATGTTCTATTCATCGTTTGCTTCCCGGTGCTAAGCACTTTGTTGTCGAGCCCGACTGTTTGACGGGAGGCAACAGCAAGCTGACGTTTCCCTTGTCTCCGCGGGTGTAGGCAATTGTGGACACTGTCGACAACCTCCTGAGACCGGAAGCGCTGAAGTCTTGGAGAGACATGAATTCCACCGAGCAAACGCACGCCGCCACCATGCTCCTGGACACCCTGGAGGAAGGCGCGTTCGTCCTGGCTGAAAACCTGATCGAGCCGGCCATCGTCAAAGTGCCTGCAGAGAATATCAGTAAGTTTATATGTCTTTAACCATTTCTGATGCTGATTATATATTTTTTATTGAGTCGTGTCTTATTTAAATCAAAGTCCAAACAAGAAGCACTCGGAGAGTGCAAACCTCCGCCAAGACCAATTTTCCCCATCCTGTAATAGAGTAAATGCACAAAGGCAGAGATGGAAACACATTTGCCGAATAAGTTCTGATGTAGTGAACATTTAAGCAGGCAGTATGCACGGAATTTCTTCCCGGTGGAGTCCAATGTGAAAAAAAGAGTCAGACTCGTCACCCGATGTTTTTCATCATCAAACTGGTGTTGGATTAAGCTCCTAAGTTTTCATCAGTTACATTTCACTGTGTAAAACGTCTGTTTTATCCCCTTGCATGAGTTTGTAATGGTTTGACTCTCTTTATAAAGTGCTTCCTGGCTCCCCCCGTCTCCAAACTTTGAGGCCCGGCAGCTCTCTGTTAACAAGTCTAGTAGCGAGAAACTGTTTTGATTGTTTTTTTTTTTTTTTTTTTTTTGGAAATGTGGTGTGTTTGAGGAAATGGGAAAAATAGGTTTGATGGTGCAGTCACGCACTTCCTGGTCACAAAACGTTCTCTAAATGTGCACCAAATGTGTAAAAATGCACACAATGTGACAAAAATTATTCATCATTAAATCTGGTTTTAACTTTACTTTTATAAAGTTTGAAGTCTGTGCTGTCCAATCCAGTTCAAATGAACACTGAAAGCTCTCACTGTTTTTTACAGAAGCCCTGTGAAAGCATCACAGCTTTGCCGATCTCAGAGGATTAAAAGAAAAAAAATCCTGTATCCGCATTGTGATGCGGAACCTCACCAAAATGTAATGGTGTGTTACTTGGGCCAGTAACCACATGTGGTAAAAATGTCATGACAGTCCACAAGTTTTTGAGTAATGTTGTCCACAGAAGGAACGACAGACAGACGGACATATGCGACCGAAAACATTACCTCCTTGGCGGAGGTAAAAATAAGTGTTTTTACATAAAACAAAAAAGGCAGCCTTGTATTTTATTTCGTTCAGCTTTGTGATGTGAACTGTCATGCTTCTGCTCTCTGTTGCTATGGCTATGGTTCCTCACTCGCCCTTTTTGTCTTATGTCTCATTGATTTTTAATCTTTCATTGTAAAGTCAGCTCATTTGAACATGGGCTGTGGGATGAACTGTTCGGACCTCTGGGGGCTAAAACAAAGAAGCCAAGTGAATGGCACTGTTTTCATTCAGTCAGCTCTCTATTGGCTCCCTCCAAGCCTTCCCCATTAGGCGGCCGTTAGCTGTGCTGATAACGACTAGTTCTGTCTCTACCAAAAGCACTGATTAATATGTTCACATAATATACTGTATATTGACCATTCAATCTCTGCATTCAGACAGCATTTATGAGCTTGTTGAATTCTCGTCCATATGCCCAACGAGGATAATATTTCAGCGACCGAGCAGAGCCGGTACTTAGAGAGGGGAGAAAAAAAGTTCCTGTGCTTTCACCTCCCTCATTCAGTGGAATGCTGTAAGTCTTATTTGCGATATTTTCTTAGCAAGCACGTCAAAAGGCCTGAGTTGCGTTCATTGCTAGTTAAAGTGGAGGGATGGTTTCCCCCAAAAGGAGGCGGGATTATTGCGCAGATGTGGGGCTCCACTCTCGTGTTAAACATCCACTTGTAATGTCGAGACGTAAATTTCATACCAAAAGATTTACTGTTTCTTTACAGTAACAGTTCTCCGCCTTGATTCATTGACATACATGGTAATATTTTATAAATCTGACCCGATCAGAAGAAGTATAGAGCAGAGCAGGTCATGACTTCCTGTTATTAACTGATGTCCTGTGTAGATTTTAATATGCAGCTGTAGCTTACAGTTGGTGAAACTGAAAACTGCACATGGGCAGCTTTATGAGAAGTGGCACCACACTATAAAAAGTGACAGTTCGCTAAGAACGAACAATTTGAAAGTGCAGGTACTGCTTACCACTGAATACTGGCTCACTTTGAGAACTGAGCAAAGCTGCACTCAGAACTGGACCGAACACCTGACCTTTTTTTTTTCCTTTGCAGAGTTACAAAGGCTGAAAATGATTGTTTTCTCTAGTTAGCAGATCTTTGTAGCGCAAATTGTTTCTCTGGGTGAAAATCAAGGACAAAATGAAAAGAAGTGGGGCGAAGCGAGAACGTGGGTGCAGAAAGCTATAGGCAGAGAGGGAAGGGAGCAACCGGAGTACAATTCCTCATCTCTGTCTGTCAGAAGCTGTCTATCTGCAGAAGTGAGGCCGTTTCTGATGGGAAGGAGTGTGCTGAAACGTGCGTCCTCCTGACCCTTTAGTAATTTCACACATCAAAGGGAGCACCACCCAGCAGCTGGCATGCAAGAGAGAGGGGCTGCAAGAATTTGGAGGATTTTCACAGATTTGCTCATCCAGCCTAGAGTTATCTGAGCCCACGAGGGGGAAAAAGAAAAAGTGAAAGTAAAAGCTCAATGATATGTTTGATCCTATGAATATTTGACATTCATGCTGCATCCGGCTGTGTGCTTGCATTTACTCATCCTCCTCTGCAGCCCTTGTCGTTATTTTTCCTTTGCTCTTGCCTTGGAGGCTTTCACAATGCCAGGAAACAGCTTAGTGACATGGTTTTTTTGGAGTAAATGACACCCTGCGGGATTTTGCCTATAAGACTCAACACTGTTACTGTTACAGTGAACGTCGAGTCTTTACAGACACTCCACTGGGCCTTAACGGTGGAACTGTATTCAACAGAGTAAAAAGCTTTTAAAATGTTGCCGCTGAGTTATACATCTCTATTTTTACCTCCTCTCTGACTTCCCGCCTCCTCTCAGTGCTTGATGTGTACGTGCTGAGCACCGACGGTCAGGTGCAAGACTTCAGGTTTCCGCAGTCGAGCAAAGGCGGAGCGACACTTCAGCTTTCCTCCAACACGGTGAAAGTTAACAGCAAAAATGGTAAGAAAACTCCGCATACAGACTCACACATTTTGTGTGTTGAAATTCTCCAGTAGTTTCCAAATAATAGCTTTTTTTAAGAAAAACAGACTTTTTGAAACCACTGTGCACTGGTATTGCATAGTCTTGTTGCAGCTACACCAGCACGTTTTAAATGTCTACATTTGCAAAAAAAAGAAGAAGAAAAAAGATTAAAAACGTATATTCCCCGAGATTATAATCAACACTTCAAATCAGTGTGGTAATTTATTTTCTAAGCCTTGTTCACAGATTTGTTCTTTGCAAAATTAAATCCTTATAATAGTTTGGTGATTATCGACCAAAATCCTGAACCGTTTTCTTTGTGCRAAATTCAATGGCAAAGAATAATTTAATTAGACCATCAACTGTAGGCACAGCACATGGTAAACTGCCACCCCTGGGGTGTGTTGTAGCTGATTCCACACTGCAAAATGAAGTAATGTTGAAAATAAAAAAAAGGAATTTGCAATAATTTATTGAGAGTGAACAGAACTTGCTGTGCTGCACAACAGAGCTCTGCCTCTCATCTGTCTCTGTGCATGGCGGGGGTAAAGCATCAGCACTAGCATGCTCTTTAGTTTTCTTCTTTTGTGTAAATTCAAAGAGCACCAGTGAGCCCAATAATTCTTCCCATATATACAGTTTTTCTGTTTGAACTGAATTGTGTCATTGTGAATTTTAGCCCTGTCTGATCTTTTTATTTTCCTCTGTTTTTGGCTGCAGGTGTGGCAAAGCTGGTATTTGTGCTCTACAAACACTTGGGTCAGTTCCTCAGCACTGAAAATGCCACACTGAGAGGAATGGGAGACCCGAACAGGCACAACCTCTCCCTCACTGTCAATTCCCACATCCTGTCAGCCTCCATCACAAAGGAGTCCAGCCGGGTGTTTGTGGCCGACCCGGTGATCTTCACACTGGAGCACCTGGATGTAAGTCTCCTCCTGCGATTTGACCTGACCACACTATAGACCCAAACTGACAAATACCCAAGTGATGTCATTCTCTTGTGTATAAAAGTATAAATCTCTGACTTTATATTCCCAGGGTGGGGAAAGGGTCAAATAATAACGGACTGTATAAATTAAAGGCCRAGTWTTCTTTGAAAGAAAATATCACCCACCACCTTCCATACCAAAAGTTCAACACTAACATAATTTTATGTTGAGAAATGAGAGTTAGTCTTTTTGGTTAAAACCTTGAAAATGACGTGCACAATTTCATGCAATATCACAAGCTTCCATACTCAGAGTATGTGTTGTGAATAACACTTATCTACTATCACATCACATCTGAGCAACATATCTGTAAAACGGACTGACTTATAGTCATTTTTGTGTTTTCTAAAACTCATTGGTCTGTAGTTGTAAWCTTGAATGGGGTGGGCTGCAAATGTTATTTAGTTGTGGAAGTGTGATTATTTCTTGACAGTGTCTTTAAAATCCATCCAATGGTTCATCAGATAGTTTGGGAGCAGACAAACGTGTTTGTTTATTTATTTATTTATTTATTTATTTATTTATTTATTTCATTCATTCATTCATTCATTCATTCATTCATTCATTCATTCATTCATTCATTTAACTTGGGTTAAATAAAAAAGTATGTGTTGTGAAGTTGGCTTTGGAGGCCCTTTTGAAATAGGTTGACTTCAAAAGTTAATCAGTTGTAGATGTTCATCCACTTATTCATTTCTACTAGTTTCATTGTAATTCCTGCAATGCCTCTTAACCAGGGATGCAAGGATACGGAAAAAATTCACAATTCGGTTCGGTTCGGTACTTTAGTCTCACGATTTGATATTTTTTCGATACAAAAAAGAGAAATTTCCATGCCCCTTTTAACTTGTAATTTATTTAAATTAATTATGAACATTTGTTTAACCTCAAAAGTCCAGTTTTTAAATTAAATGTTGCTGAAACAGCAGGTTTCTCAGTGGATCTGCGCTCAAAATGCAGCCTAGGTGGAGTAGTCGAACACAGATCCACTGATCCTTTAACACAGAGCATCTTCAGAAGACAAGTTGATAAAGTAAATTTAAAAAATCTGTATTGTTTGATACAAGTGTGTACTGAACCTAAAGCACTGTTCGATACGGTTCGATATGGGTACATGTATTGTTGCACCCCTACTCTTTAAATATATTGGTAACAGACAGGCACACAAAGACTCACACAAACTAGCTATAACCTTATCGTCCACATTCACATTTCAGCACTGAGAGATAATAATTGACACTGACCCTCTAATCTGACATCTTTAAAATGTTATGGTCTATTTCTGTTCGTTCATGCATTCAAATGCCTCGCCATTGATATATTTTGCCTTTTCCTTTTGCCTTGCAGAAGGAGCACTATTACAACCCCAACTGCTCCTTCTGGAATTACTCCGAGCGAAGCATGATGGGCTACTGGTCCACTCAGGGCTGCAAACTGTTAGAAACTAATAAGAGCCACACCACTTGCTCATGCAGTCACTTGACCAACTTCGCCATCCTCATGGCTCATCGGGGAAATGTGGTAAGTGGCCTTCACCTTCTGTGGTTTGCATGGGCTATTTTTCTTTCTCAATTAGTTGTTCTTCCTCCTGTCTCGTCACATGATTTGTTCACACATGGCACGGGCAAAATTGGCTTTTCAGACGAGATAATTAGATTATAGCTGGAGGAGAAGGTAAGAGTAGGGAGCAGGGTGGTGAAAAAAGAAGCCGGGCTATCATTTTAGAAAAGCAATACTGCGACACGGGATAGTGTTATCAGAAGTTGTTTTTTTTTACCTGTGGCTCATGTCTAGTATTTTTCCTTCATGTATGCATACCTGCAAATCATGGGAAACAGTGTAACCTTGGATTAAATTAACATTTCCACTCCTCTTGAAGTGGCCAGGGATCTATTTGGTCGCAAAATGCAATTACAATCCAATTACATGATAAATAGCATGTGTAGCAAGGACCTAGCCAGTAATAAATGTAAAGGATAAGTATGTGGTTTGTTTAATAGTACGTTCCAACTCCTGAACTCTGCGCCTCTCATCTGTCTCAACCTCAACCTTAACCACAGCTTGAAACCAGAGCCCAGATGCAGGGCTTTGCCTCACACCAAACCCCCTACATATCACCTCAATAGTAACTCCTGACCTCAATATAATTACAAATATCACAGGAGGAATTGCCTCACTTTCAGGCCACCAAGTCTTTGAGTAATATTTCGTATGGTCAAGGCTCAGGTTTTTTTCTTCTTTTTTTCTTCTCCTCCAGATTTTGCCCAGTGCCTCACCTTGAAACGCACTCAGTTTTTAGATCTTCTGAAACGCTGCATGATTCAGCCACACGGTTGCAACTCTTTGAGGCCGATTTTTCTTCTGATGTCGCTTTCTGCAACACGTGCTGCATAAAAGAAAAAAAAAGATGACTGAACATGTTCAGCTCGGCTGCCAAATGGCATGAAGTTCAATTAGGGGCTAGTTTGTCAGTCCAGTCTATATGAACTCGAAAAACATCTGACTCTGGTATCAGGTTTTGTATTTATCTTAAAGGAGCAATATTATGTGTTTCTCAGGCATATATTTAAATACTATACCATAATAAAGCAACTATGTCACCTTTAGTTGTTATTAAAATGCTGTTTTTATGTTTAAATAGAAAATAAACTTATCTTCTCATCACTTCCTCTTCTAAATGCCTTGAAACTGTCCTCTGTCTCTTTAAGAACCACCTTCCGCTTCTGTCCCGTCTCGTGCGCACTGTGATGCAGTTTACTCAGCATCTGAAAATACATTTCCTCAAATGTATTTTGAATCTGAAAAGAGCTTCACTGAGTGAGCAGTAGTGTTAAGGCTGGTTTACACTTTTTGTCGCACGTCTTTTACCTCCCGCTGAGTGACAAAAAGTTGCGCAACTTCCGTCTGCACACCAGCTGAGATTCCCCGGTGACAGCTGTCCTGTGCATTGCCCCGAGTCAGCACTCCGAGATGTAGAGGTTGCGGCTCAGAGCGTGTGATTGGTRCAAAGTTTGTGAGCGTTTTTGTTTGGATGTCATATGTTGTGTCACACCGCTACCCGCTACTCACTTCCAGAGGCCAGTTTTTCTTTCTAAACATGGATAGTTTCGAAGAGAAACTCACCGAGGCGGTCTGGAGGAACAACCATCTGTCACTCCTCTACTGCARTGGTGCATGCTGAAGGTGAGGAGGAGAGATCCGGTGGGGGAAAAAAACAAAGATCTGGTGGGCAAGTTTGTCGAAACAAGAAGCGGACATTCAAAAATAGGAGAAGTGTTTTTCGTCATCCATCTCCCACCTCTGTTGAACCAACAAGCTAAACTCGCAACTAGCAACTAGCAGTTATTTACATGTTAAGCTATGCGTGTGGGAGGGCAGAGGGAGTGATTACTATAATGTATCCCCCACGTCTTTTCCCAGTATATATAAACACTCAYTGCTGTTGGTGACACACACGCAATTACGTCATTGCTGGGCCGCAGCCTCACGTCTTGCATGAAGTATAAACAAAGCTTTAAGAGCAGCAGTTTAAGTTTCACTTTCACTTTGCTCTGTTACTGCCGAGAGCCTGCAGGAGTCATGGGCGCGGTGTGTGGGGTAGGGTGGTGTGCTCCGTGATGAGGAAGCTCGGCTTAAAGACGCGTCCCAGGGGCACCAAAACGCGTTTCTGATCCCCACCTGTCGTTTTGCTCCTCAGCATGACTGCCTAAAAATGCTGCAGGATCTCTCAAACATGCATGAATGAGTCAAAGCAAGGCTTTGGGCACGTTTTTTATGAGAGTATAACATTATAACATGATATAAAACTCAAAAAAGTTGATTTTACATGATATTGCCCCTTTAACGTGTCTTCTTTTTATGTTATGATCTCCTTGTTTTAGCTAAAAATAAGCAAACAAGCAATAAATAAATAAATAAATAAATAAATAATGTTTTTGAAATTCACATTAGAAAATGTTGTTTTTTTTTACTCAATTCCGATTATGACAAGTGCACATGTGTTTCTGCAGAGGGAGGGGAGCGTGCACGAGCTTCTTCTCACCGTCATCACCAGGATGGGTATTGCTGTGTCTCTGGTCTGCCTGGCCATCAGCCTCTTCACCTTCTGCTTCTTCAGAGGCTTGCAAAGCGACCGCAACACCATCCACAAAAACCTCTGTCTCAACCTCTTCATTGGAGAGCTCCTTTTTCTTGTGGGCATCAACATGACAGAACCGAAGGTACAGCGAAAATCGGTTCTTGATTGGACTTGTCTCTTCTGATGCAATTAACCTTTACATGCCAGAGTTTCCAAAATTAACATTTAAGTGCTAAAAAATTACAATAAGTTAAAACTAAATAAATAAACAAACAAGAATCCACCTGTGATGGCTTTTAACAACTAGAATAAATATTGTCTTTATGGTGTCATGGTTTTTCTGTAAATGAATCTGGAGAAACTATAGGATCTATGGGATCTGCACATTTTCAGTGCAGGCAAAGGCTGCACATCCTCTCAATCCTCAAATGAGTATTTGAGGCGTTTGGTCTTTCCAAATGTGCATTTTCATAAATATTGTATTCTCATTTGATGTGGAAAAATTATGTTGATAAATTATTTAGCTAATTAATTATTTATATATGGTAATTACATTTTAGATCTCACTGTTTTAACATAAATCCTGTTGATTTCAAATATGCATTAGAAAAACCAAATAAAAAACTGTTGTTACTTCAGGACACAGCACCATCTTGAAATTGAATTCTGTCCATCTTGTAAAGGTAATTTTAGAAAAGAGGTCACAAAGCATCATAGGTATTGATTTGCTGCTTTTATACCTATTTGGTGAAGGTAATTGCAATATTTGCTTTTGTTTTGCTTCAATTTGCTGGAAATAAATAAATGAATGATTAGATGCTAAATGCTCTACTTCACTAGTGAGACTTTTTTTTGACAAAGTGGGCGAAAAGTAATCTCTTTGAAACAAGTAAAAGTAAAGGGCTAGCATTCCTTCAAGGAATACAGAAATCCCACTGSCTTTTACGCCCTAGTCATAAATTCAAACCATCTTGTGTTGAGAAAGGACAGAGCTATGAGCAGTTTGATCAAACCTTGTAAATGATGTTCTGCGTCGTGCTGTGTGTTGCCCCGTCAGCTGGTGTGCTCCATCATTGCCGGAGTCCTCCACTTTTGCTTTCTGGCCGCCTTCACCTGGATGTGTTTGGAGGGCGTGCAGCTCTACCTCATGCTGGTGGAGGTCTTCGAGAGCGAGTTCTCACGCAGGAAGTACTACTACCTCGCCGGCTACCTCGTCCCCACCGTGGTCGTGGGCGTCTCAGCGGCCATCGACTACATGAGRTACGGCACCCAGCGGGTGTAAGTGCACCACCTTTTGCAGAGGTTCTTCTTTTGCAAAGATGGAATAAAAAATGTATGTATCAGGAGTCCCCCTGCATTGAGACACACCCACGCAGCATGCATAGTGCGGTGCGTGCTAATGATAGTAATAGCACAAAGAGTGGTCCACCTCTGTTGACAAATTTATAGCCCAGCACTGTTAAAAGAGGAGGCTGTGAGCAAGGCAGCGGCATTAATGAATGTTCTGGCTAGCTGTACTGGTCTGCAGGTGTTTTTTTTTTATTTTAATCCTTGAAAGTGGATAATTACTGCCCRTATCAGTGAAAGGTTTATGCACTCCTGTGCTGGTTTGTACCCAGGCATTAAGCTTTATGATTTGTAAGGCTTTAGTCCTCTAATTTATAGGAATTAAGTAAAAAGCACTTTTCAGTGTTTTATCTCATGTATCCTAATAAATACTGACCGACTCGTATCCAGCACACGTTTTTTTTTTCTTTGAGTCTTAGGTACACACAGACACACATTTGTAGACTGTGAAGTCATGAGTTCAATAACCAGTGCCTTTTACTCGGCAGCTTCTCATGGCAACAAGCCAACACCCCCTTAAGGTCGAGTTTTCTTCTTTGCGGTCAGAAGAGTTGCCTTTCTGTTGGCCTATCATGTAGCCACCTCTTCTGTGCACTGATCGATGAGACACAACTATGTTTTGGCAAGGAAATGATTTAACGAACTAAACGCGGCCTTTTTTCATTTTGCAGCTGCTGGTTGAGAGTGGATAACCATTTCATCTGGAGCTTCATTGGACCCGTGACCTTGATAATAGTGGTAAGTTATAAATTTGCGCATGCTAGGGATAAATTCTGTACTCTTTCTTTCCGAGCGACGCTTTGAAAACAGTTTATAGATTTTCTTTCTGCATGTGCCGGCAGCCTCTTAGCTCTGCTTTCTCCGATCAATTTGCATGAAAGGAAAGTGGTCCCATTATAGCTGACACGAGGACATCAGTGTCCACTCAGCTATGAAATCCTATGAAATCAGAATTGTTGAACAGTAACAACGCGGAGCTTTTTGGACCCCTCGGCACAACTAGAGAATACTCCCTGCAATCAAGAGGAGAAATCGTTTCAGGCATGAAGGTCATTTGCTCAGTGGGAAAACAAGGGGGATGTTGGTTGGTGGGTGGGTGGGGMTGAACATGGAAGTAATGAGTGGGTGGGCCAGACAACCATTACCACAGCGCATTGCCCTGCTGAGGATCATGACACATCCCTAGCCAATCGGAGCGCGCAGACATCTCCATCTTCACTTTTTAATATTTCATGCAGAGTACACGGCATTTGCAACGCGCGTAGACATGCACACGACACGCATGCACGAAAACAAGTGCACAGTACATATCCATAAAGTAACACGCATGTAAATGAGTCCAATGGCTGTAAAAACATGCAAAAGCATGAGGAGAGCTGCACTGGCAGCACTAGTTTTTATGTGCTTTATTTGGCAGAGAAGTAAGAGACCTGAAAACTGTAGCGAATGGCTCCTTAGAGACTGAGCATGTGGAGGAAGGAGGGTTTGGGTGTGTGTCAGTGTGTGCGTGTGTGAAGAGACGGGGGGGTGCAGTCTGCCTCAGCGTTCTGCAGCCGTTCCTCCTAGCTCCTTGCCTCACTGTCCATCCGTCCGTCTGTCTCATCAGATCTGTGTCATCACTCATGGCTGTGTTAAATGCATCTCCAGCTTCTCGACTCATGCCGACATAAATTGGCCCCAGTGGCCAGGAGACCAAACTCTGTGATCTAAAAGCCTCTTTCTGTCTTCTTAGCCACCCCCTTTTTTTTATTTTTCCTCCCATCTTCCTCCCTTGCTGTTGTTGGCATGCATCTGCTTTTCACTCGCACTCTTTTGTTTCCATGTAAAGATCGTCTTCTGTGGCCTTGGAGTTTTTCTTTCAGAGCGCATCCACATGTGGTATYATAATCAGGATCTTTCTGCCTGTAAATGAATATAAAATGTGGCYAAAAAAGAAAGAAAGACCATGTTAAAACTCTTCTTGCAAAGTCATGCTTTTTTTTCATTTWSTCTACATTTACAGTACATTTATGTTTTAAAAAATGCATGATTTGTGCAAAAATGGAACTGAAGTTGTTTTTTTAAGAAGGGAGCCTCAAATCTCCTGTTGTTTTTCATTGAATATTTACTGCAGTACATTTGTAAGGTTAAATATGGTATCAGTCCAAATAGAAGCTCATCCCCTCCCTTTTTCTTTGTGGCTTTGGGCCCTGCAGTGCTTACAGAGAAACATCCTGAGAGCATGGAAACCTTTCTGGATGTATGGCTTGACTCACTTAAATATTCTTTTTTTTTCTTGGCCTCAGTTAAACCTGCCTTTAAAATGTGGCATACAGCTCTATACTTTCCTTTTCCCCGAATGTTTCCTGAAGCTTTTAGCTGTGACGTTTTCGATTTGTTCGAGGCTTTTCGTTTGTGCGTCCTCGTCTTGTGTAATTGCACTCCGTGTTTGGGATCGACTGTAATGACAAACACGAGAACGAAGACAAACACCGTTTGTGGCTTATGTCGAAGCCTTGAGCTGTGTGGAGAAGACCAAAGTGATAACCTCTCACTGTTGATTTTTGTCTTTGGAAGCCAGAGTGCTRTTGATCAGCACAGAGGTATTAAATTTTCATAGTCCTCTCACTGAAGGTATGAGTGTGTTGCTCACTGTAGAAGCAACACCACAACAGTTTGCAATGTGCTGTGAAATATGCTTAGATCCTACCTCATGAGGGGTGAAGTTTCTTCATTGAATGATGCATATTATAGTAGCAGCAAGTACAGTTCTTTAAATTTTAATCCTTGAAAATTTCTTTTCATGATCATTTCTCCTAAATAAAACCCGAGCACGCTGTTTATTCTTGTATTAAGAGTGTCTCTGGAGTGTGTCATTTGTGCTTGTTCATGTGAGAATAAACATAACCTACAGTATCTAACCCTGCACTGCCAACGCAAGAAACTGGATGCTTTCCTTAGTGCAGTCTATTAACCCTGATGCACATCTGTTTTGACAGGTCAATGTCATCTTCCTGGTGGTGACGATGTACAAGATGGTGAAGCATTCCACCTCCATGAAACCTGACTCGAGCAGGCTGGGGGGTATCAGGTGAGTGGGTGTCACTCTAGGAGATGAAGAGGCCGGCCTGTTGTTGCTCGATGTCAGGCTATGTGTGTGTGTGTGTGTGTGTGTGAAAAGAGAAGGGATAGGGGAGGGGTGGAGTATGCGAGGAGAAAAATAATATGCACCATCACTGCTGATCCAGCCTTCCTGCTATAATTTCAAAAAAGCTGCATTTGACCTGCGCTTTTACATTAAAGGGGCAATATCATGTACAATCAACTTTTTTGAGTTTTATATCATGTTATAATGTTATCCTCTCATAGTAAACATGCCCAAAACCTTGCCAATTTCAAGGCATTTAGAAGAGGAAGTGATGAGAGTATAAGTATATTTTCTATTTAAACATAAAAACATCATTTTAATAACAGCTAAAGGTGACATACTGTATATATTTTATTATGGTATAGCATTTAAATATATGCCTGAGAAACACGTAACATTGCCCCATTGACTTATTTTCAGGCAGGCTGACAGCTTCCCCATCAGATTGGATTTGTTGTAATAATTTTAGTTGTTTTTTATGATTTTAGTATTTGAGAGTACATTGCCTGTTTTATTTCTTCATAACTGCATTTCTGACCTTTTGCCATCTTTTTTTTCCATTTGGCTCTGTGCGTGCTAAGTTTATAGTTTTTTGAATGATTGATCGCAACCACATGTCTTGTAGACTTTAAAATGGTTAAAGTGTGTGTGGAGGGGGTGGGGGG